CAGGGTGACAGAGAAGGACCTTGTCTCAGAAAATAAAAAGGAATGTAAAAAGTTGAGATTTTAAACCAAATTCAATTTGGTGAGTTAATCTGATGTAATATTGCTTTTCTACACATTCAATTGTGTAGATCTGTGCACTCCTATAGAAATCAATCATTTCAAATCACCCACCCTTGACTTTCAACCCACTGAAAGGCTAACAGCATTGATCACACACAGAACACAGCTGGAATGCTGGGCTATTGTTTTGATTAGGGAGAAATGAGGTGGGGGGGAAAGGAGGGGGTCAGAGCATAGATACCTGACAAGACTCCACCAATGACCTGATGGGGAAAATGAGCAGCAAGGTAGATTCGTGACAGACAGACGTTCAGCTGCACAGCCCAGAATCCCAACCACAAAATGATGTTCAAACACCTGCAGTGGAAGAGGCAACCATGACAAGCTAGGTGCGATCCTCCCGCAAGGAAAGCAGCCCCAGCAGGAATGCTGGAGCCTGGCATACTTAGGTGCCATCAGTGGAATTTTTGTAAATTGAAACCCCTACTCAAAAGCTCAAAGATGCCTGTAGCAAGTGGCAAACGCTTGCCTATATGAATTCTAACCTTCCTATTGGCTACACACCCAGAATTCCCTGTAGTAGGACTGTCCTATGTTTCTCTGTTCATTTTAACCTGGACGGGGCGACTCCATGGTTGGTACAGAAATGGGTTTTAGTTTAAGCCCTGCCACCACTAGCTCTTTAGATGCCCGTTTATGGTGTTAGGCCTCCTGATTTCTTTATCTGTGAAACAAGGGGTTGCACTCACGGGTCCCTTCCAGCCTGATATCCTGTGACTCTAGTGTTCACCCTCAGCGAAAGTGCCACAATTCTCATCAGTGCCAACCCAGTGTGGGAATGAGCTGAGAGTGTGAGGAAGAGTGAGTGGTGTGTCAGCTGCAGACACAGCCACCTCCTGCCCTCCCCACCCACCCCAGTGGTGAGTTCTTACCGAAATCTGTAGGTCGGCCTTTTCTTTCCCCGAAAGATAGAGAGGGTGGATGTGACCATCACGTAGTATACACCTGCTGAACCCATGGCATGGCCAGAGGGACTCCCTAAAGGGTAGGAAAGAGAAGAATGGACTAAAGGTGAAAAGGTCTTCATCTGGGAGACTGCCAGGGGCATCGTCTCCCCAGCCTCCTAGCCATCTGTCCGTCCATCCACCCAGCCACCCATCCATCCACCCATTCATCCTACCATCCACTCATTTATCCATAACTTGTTTATTTAACAAATCTCTATTGAGGTCCTACTATGTGCCGAGCATTGTGCAAGGCTCTGGGAATACAATGGTGAGCAAATCCAGAGAAGGTTCCTGCTCTTGTAGTTATACACAGTCTGGAGATTACACAAAGAATCAACATACTGGGTGCACAGTTGCAAACTGACCCACCCTTCATCACTTCTGTTCTACTCTCTCTTGCTCACTCTGCTCCGGCCACTGGCCTCATTTTTCTCCTGTAAACGTGCCAGGCCACCTCAGGCCTTTGCATGGCAATCCTCTCTGGCCAGACGGCTCTTCTGCCAGAAACTTCCTGGCCGACTCCCTCACATCCTTCAAGTCTTGACTCACATCTCACCTTCCCAGTGAGTCCTACTCTGACCACTTCATTTAATACTGCAACCAGTTCCCATTCCCGAAACCTCTGCCCTGAGAGACAGAGGGTCGGAAGATGTGCCACCCAGAGCACTTCCCGGATGGGAGAACTTATTTCCTGCTGTTGAGAGAGTGACGGCTGATGGCCCTCCTCTCTCGGCCTTCTCTGGGCATTGCCCTAGGCTGAAGAAAGCCACCTTCAAGGTTACGCTGTCCCTAGGGGCAGCCTGCACCCAGTAACTGGTCTGTATCAGGGCATAAAGGCCTGGTCTCCTTGACCCAGCTCAGGGCAACTCTGAAGAGCCATCCCCAGCTCTGGACTCTTACCTGGTCCAGTCTCACAGGTGACAGGGAACTGCTTTATCAGCGGCACAGAAGTATTACTGTAGTAGTCGGTGTCCAAGACCCACCAGTATGGACGCTGTCCAAAGAGAATCCTGTGGAAAAACAGAACCAGTGTCTGGAGTTACTGAATGGATGCTTTTGCCCAAGCCCACACCTTGGAGAAGAGAGAGTAGCGTGAAGAGAAGACCCACATGTTGCCTCCAGAAAGGAGAACTGGGTAACTGGGGAGAAGCATGGGAGAGAGACTTTTTATGACACATCCTTATAAAATGTTTGCATTTTGAATCATTTGAATGTATCATCTATTCAAACATAAATTAAATAAATAAACCCAAGATTCTAAAATCCATACTAATGGCAGCAATGTGACTTTTCTGTTTGTTTGTTTGAGACAGGGTCTTGCTCTGTTGTCCAGGCGTCATCACGGCTCACAGCAACCTCAAACTCCTGGGCTCAAGCGATCCTCCTGCTTCAGCCTCCCGAGCAGCTGGGACTACAGGTGCACACCAACACGCCCGGCTAATTTTTTTTCTGTTTTGTTTAGAGACGGAGACTTGCTCTTGTTCAGACTGGTCTCCAACTCCTGGCCTCAAGCAATCCTCCAGCTTCAGCCTCCCAAAGGCTATGATTACAGGCCTGAGCCACAGCACCGAGTGACTTTTTTTTTAAACCCCAAGAAGCGTTTGTCCTGGAAGAATGTATACAGAACTACCATTTGCAACTTGGATTTGCATATACTATGGGTTCCCTCTTCTCTTTCTTTAGGCCTCAGGGAGTCTTGCATTTTCTCTAACATCAGAGAAGCCACCTCAGCGCCAATGACAAGCCCTGCAGGGAGACATAGTCTCTGTCCCCACCAGAATTGCTGTCTGTGAGGATATAGACAGCTTTAGTGCTTGCCCTGTATCCTCCCTGCTTTTAAACAGACTATCTCAGACAGACCATTTCCCCTTTGAAAACACTAGGAATGTTTTTCACTGTGGAAACAGGTGTCAAATTGTATAGAAGGAACAGCCTGAAAAAGGGTAGAAATGTTTTCTGTCTCTTTAAAACTTCCCCTGCTCTTTTTGGGAATTAAAACCTACATCCCTCCCTCAGGCCAGTGGTCGCTAGGGGCAGGGGAGTGTCATCAGCTATAGTTGAACAATAGCCTAAAGCTGAGAACCCTCCCTTTAAAAGCTCCGTATTTCTGCCTATAGTTAGGAAAATTGGAACTTTAAGACAGGAGTCTGCCATTTTCCTCATTTGCTGGCAAATTAATGAACTCCTCTTTCCTTTTCCTCAACCACTTGTCCTCATTCTTCTGATGTGCCCTCAGGGACAAGTGCCAAGCTTTTGGTAACAAAATGTCAGTCATGATGACTCTTTTTCCTTGTGCTGGTGAAGTAGTGATTTCTCAGAGAAATGAGGGACAGCCACTACCTCTGACCTTCACCAACCCAGAGAGAATCTATGGTTCTTTAACTGAGATCAGCTGTTTGGAATAACCCTGTATCTTTTTATTTTTTAGGGGCATGCTGCTGAAGGGGACATGACAGATAAAATTTAGTAGCTTTTTCAACAGAGGTTTCAGGAATCTCATCAGTCTGCCTTGGGCTCCAGAAATTAACAACAATTTTTTCCCCTGCTTTAAAGAACTTTAATGTTGTGGCCAAAGGAAATTAGAGCTCGAAGAGATCTTAAGAATTGCCCGATGGTAGACATGGATACTTCTAGGGATGGTAAAAGTCTTAGAGGGCAGTTTTAAAGGATGATGAAATAGAGGCCAAACCAATAGTGTGCTAGAGTTAGGTGGCTAACAAGAGTCAATTGTTAAAGACTCAGGAATTTTGCAAACCAGAACCATCGGTATCTTGGAAGTGGCCATAATGGGAATATTGACACAATGGAAATTGGCAAGTGCTAAACTCGGGTTTTGTGGGGTTTTTTTTGTTTGTTTGTTTGTTTGTTTTTTTTCCCAGAGAGTCAATTTATCAGCAGTGGATATAACATAGTTCTTAAAAGCATTGCCCCTGACGCCAGCCTGCCTGGGCTTCAGTCCTGGCTCTGCCATTTACTAACCGTATTGGTCTAATTTAACTCAGTGCTTTGGTCTCTTTATCTGTGACATAGTAGTAACTGCCCCATAAGAAAGCAATTAGCACATGGCCTGGCATATACTAAGTGTTCAATAAATGTTAACTATGATTATTATAGATCATAAAACAGAAACTCAGAGAATTGATACGACTTGCCAAGGACAGGTAGTTGGTAGGTGGCAGAACAAGGGCTGGAGCCCTTGTTACTTTTCATTACCCCACACAACAGGTTTTTGATTCATCTGTATTTCCTTTCTTCATACATCCTCTTTGTTTTTTGATACACCTATCCTTATGTTATCATGCTGCTTCAAAGTAATAAAACTGTCCCTTTGCTCAAAGCCTGTAACTCAGACTTTTCACTAAATTCAACCATCCGTCCTCCCCTTCTAGCCATATGAAATAGGCTTTCCTGTATTTTCAACTCACTGACAGGTTTTCTCTGCCCTCCCTCTTTATGCAGATGATCCAAAGTCAAGGGAGGGAAGTAGACGGTGGCTTCCTGAATAGCACTGGGAAAGCAGCTTCCAACGGACAGACATTTCCAGAGGGAATGCCAGCTGCTTTTCTTGCTGATCACCTCCCTGGAGGGTTCTTACCACTTAAAGACAAGGTTGAGCCAGTCTCCAATCACAGCTACCCAGAGGAGTTTGATGCCCACGGCTTCTCGAAGATGGAACCAGATGGGGAAGAGGACGTAGAAGGCATTCCTGAGGTCTGCGATCACAGACACGAAGATGAACCAGTCCTGGGAGTCTTGGTAATTCACCTGCAGGTAGTGCGTTGACTGGATCCCAAAGTCATGGAGAGCGTTCATTCCCTCCTCCATCCTCATTTCCCTGGCACCTCAGGAAGCCGTCGGCAGAGCCCTTGCACTTATTTCAGTCTTGGTGGTGATTGCTCTGCTATCAGCCTGTGCCTTGCCCCTGTTTTATACACCCTGTATCCAGTCTGCAGGTCAACCCAGCCCTGATCTTTGGACTCAAAAACCACATTTGTCTAAAATTTATTGATCAAAGGTGCATCACCAGTAGGTTGATGCAAACGTGTTCAGGGTGATTTACGTAAAATAGAAAAACAGGCACACAAAAACAACCTGATCGGCCATGTACTCAGCAGGGCCAATTATTAACTTTGGCATGCTGCTTGACAGTGCCAGGGGCTGCCCTCCTGGTCCCCGAAACCAGCCTGGAGACACAGGACAGAGTCTAAATCCACCACAATTCTTGCAAAGGTGTCTGATTTCCTAAGTGTGCAATTGCACTTATTTGGGGACAAAAAAAGTCTTGGTGCTCTAGCTGTTCAAGTTTTAAGTTCCTAATTTTAATATATAGTAAGTTCTGTTTTGTATTGGGGACTGACATCTTGCTGGTCCTTCCTTAGCTATATTAGAATCTATGATCTGTCTCTGGGTTGGGAGATCAATCCTCTTCCCAGTACTGGCTCCATATCTCTTAGGGCCAGAAAGTAATAATTTTGTTTGTTTGTTTGCTTATTTTTTTGAGTTGAAGTCTCACTATGTTACCCAAGCTGGTCTCGAACTCCAGGCCTCAAGCCATCGTCCTGCCTCAGCCTCCTAAGTAGCTGGGACTACAGGCACATGCTACTGCGCCTGTCTAGAAAGTAATCATTTTTGAATGCAGTGATTAATTTGTTCAATAACATTGAAGTTAGAACCTTTGGGGCTTTAACTCAAAAGTTTAAGCAACAAAATGAATATATGTTCATGCAACAACAATATGATGAATGTGTGGTTCTAAATAAGAGCACAGGCAAACATAACTGGGGACTCTGGAGAAAAAGTTTGAAATTTTTAGTTATTTTTGAGAAAGAGTATCTGTATCTTGAGCTTTCTTTCATATATATATGTATATATGCACAAATTGAGCTTTCTCTCACACATAAATCATCTTGAACTCTGTATGTGGAAGAGAGCTCAGACACACATTTCTGTAGGTGTGTGTGTGTTTACAGAGAGCAGCTGCTTCCCCTTCCCTAGACAGAGGGCCACCGTGCAGTTACTCTCAGGAGCCCTCTGCCCGTGGGGGCGCCTGTGCTTCTTTGGGCTAATAATCTGGGTTCTGGGACAGGCAGATTTCCAAAGTGGTATATGTATCAGCTGCAAACAATAGAGAGACCAAGAACCTCACACTTGGGTCACGTAGGACTCTGAAAGGAGCATGGGAATGAATTAGGGGATGAATTCATGCATCTTCAAAGCTAAGAGCCAGTGAGAAGGAAACTTTTAAATCCCTCCCTGGATTTCCCATCAGAAAGTCCATATGGACATGGAAGGGGTAGGTTGGGGACACGGAAAATAAACTCGGAGCTAAGAGTCTGTAGCAAAGGTTGACAGCATTCCATGCTGGAAATGATTAGATCATCATCCAGGAGGCATGAGCTGGAGTCGCATCCCCATCCCCCCATGGGCTCCCACCCAGCTCAAGCCGACTCTAACTGCCCTTGACCTCAGCATTTCTGCTGGTGCAAGTGACCGTCTCCTGCCACAGCCAGCCCAGAGAGTAGGAAATGCGGAGGTGGCCGTGGGTGGGTGCAAAGGAAGCCTGTGCTAGGCAGCGTTGGGGGCAGCATGAGTGTTCCGCACTGTCAGAACTGCTGGGCCACAGGTAGGGGCCTCACCGCAAGAGGTAAACCTTCTAGAAAGTATTGACTAACTATGGTGGTGATCCTTGGGACTGGAGTTTCTATGGTCTGAGGCAGGTTGAGGGCAAATGGGGCCGACCCTCTGACAAAACATCCAAAGGCCACCGTCTGGGTCTCTGCAGGGCTGCTGAGAGCCAGGGTCTCTGAGTCGGGTGGGGCTCAGTCATGCGCTCAGCATATGGGGAGCGAGTGGAGGGCACTATCTTCTGAGGAGCCTCAGGGAGCATGCGGGGCTGATAAGGAATGCTGATAGAGCTGATACCCCATTCTGGGCACGCAGCGGCAGTGTGCACATCTCCCCAGCAGGCCGCCTGCCGGGCGGAGGGACCCCCTTGGTCAGAGCAACCGTTCATCACATCATGAGACTAGTGCTCCCCGTTCTACCTTCCGGCCCTTTCCTCCTTCCTCCAGCCAGTTTTCATCATGTGCAGAAAGAGATGAGGCCCCACAGGACCCAAGCCTATTAGAAAGCTGACTGAATGAAAACTTCTGGATCCTCGAGGGTCTTGTGAATATACGAGGAGAATATCGTGCACTTGAGTGGCTGGTGGTTTTGCTGAAAATCCAGTCCTTAAAGAACTGTCTCCAGAGAGGGGATCCCACCATCTCTCCCTAACTCTGGCCATCTTCCCTTTCAAGAAGTTCTCCAGTTTAATTCAACTGACATTTTCTGAGCAAAGCAGCATGCCTGGCTCTCTGAGAAATGAAAAGTGAAATTCTGGCTGTCCTCCGGGCCCCTGCCAGTCTAGTGGGACAAGGGAGGCCAGACATTTACACTGTGAGGTAAACTGGGGGATGTTCAGAGGGAAACCGCATCTCATTTGGACAAATATTAGTGAGTTACCTATTATTTTTTCCTCAGCGGAGAAGACTCAAGTTCTACTCATATCCTCTAGGGAAATGGCCAGCTGATTCCGGGAACCAATAAGGGTGGAACATTCTTTGGGCTCCTCTTGGTTGGGTACATGAGCAGGGCGCTCCTCGGGCATTTTCTCCTGAGATCAGTCCTCTTCCCAGTGTTGGCTCCGTATCTCTTAGGGCCAGAAATTAATAACTTTGTTTGTTGGTTTATTTTTTTGAGACAGGGTCTCACTATGTTACCCAGGCTTCGGGATCTTGGTTTGGGAAGAACATGAAGAAGAGGTGCCAGAAAGTACAGTCTGGTCTGCTGTTAAATAAGTGCAGCTGGTCCCAGTGTTCTGGCACCTTCTCCCAGGGCAAGGTTGACTCATTCACTCAAATGAGTTTATTTGCAGATGGGAAAGCAAGGAGGGAAAGGAGGCATAATTTACCGCACACCTCATCAAAAATTGCACTTATTACTAAAAAGAAATCTGATTTTACCTGAAGCTGAATCCTCTCTTCTGGCTGGGCCCCTGGGCTCTGTAGGGAGAGGAGCTGCTGGTCTGTCCTTCACTCGGTTATTGTATCTAGAATGGGTCTTGTCCGCACTGCAACAGGGGCACAAAGCCTAGCTTCAACCCACAGCTACGTCTGAGCAGCAGGGTAGACTCCTCTGAAGTCTTATGGCCCAAACTATAAGATGAACAGTTTTATTTTTTAAAACTACTTCTTTTGTGTGATCTTTTCCCCCCTTTCCAAGTGACCAGTGGGGGAGGTGTTTAGTGGGGAACAGGGCAAACTGGCCGGATTAACTGCTGTCACCTTCTCAGTGAGTGACCCAGTTCACGTTTTAGAAAAACATGTTGGGGACACCAGGTGGAGGGAGAGGTGGGTTAATCATTGCCAGCCAGTGAAAATGGCTGACTTATCTCTGGCTCGGTGAGAAAGTTCAGCTTCAGGACTTTGAACTGTGCATCCGTCGACCAGGTTGGGGGAGCGTGGAGCATGTCTCGGGATGGGCTGGACATTTTGTCCACAGAAAAGTCCCTGAAAACTTTTGCTGCATTGTAAACAGTTAAGCTCACTACCTTCCTCCTGCCACCTCAGGGTCCGCCTTGTATTAATAGCACAAAATCAAGCGAATCACCAGCACTTTATGTGAATCACAGACTGCCCTTACTCTCCCTCTTCCTTAGCTCCCTTCCCCAAAAGAAGCTGCTGTTCCTGCCAGGAAGTAGCCTGTTTCCGCACTCAACCGGTTCCCTCACAGGTGGCAGACCCCTCTCCCATTCTTAATCAACCCTCTGCGGTGCCAAGCACGCTAGGAAACATTCTTGCTGTCAAAGCTGATCGCCCCGCGCCGGGAGTTACGCTTTGTTGATGGCGCACTGCAAAGGCAGAGGGAAGGGAAGAAAGCCTCCAAACGTGTGACCGGGACTATCTAAAAAAGGGTTGTTTTCCCTTTTGTCCTGGTCTATACCCCAGAGGCAAATAAGGGCTATTTGAGGAGAGCAGGGAAGCATAGCTTGAGCTGAGGCTCCAGCCCATGCTACTGTCACCTCCTTGCTTCAACTCACAGATTCTTTGGAAGAATAAAGACCAACTGAAGAAGGAGGGAAGGGAAACCAAGCCACCAGTCGCTCAGCCATAGCTGGGCCTGGCGTGGGGCGGAAGGTACACCTTCCTTCTCCTTGGCGGACTCTCAGAAACTCTCAAGTCCCCAAGCCGGCAGCGCAGGAGACTGCCCCTCCCCCACGGCCATCACCAGGATTTTACGAGTAAAATAAAATAAGATTAAAGAGTTCTGGAACCCGGGCCAAGTCACTGGAGTCTCTTGGTTGTACTTTTGTCAACTGTAAAATGAGATTCAGTGACCCTCGTCCTCCTTTCGGCTCCTAACATTGCCTAAGATGGTGGAGGTCCTTTGAAAATAGCCCCAGAGGAGCGGTGTCTGGTTTTTAATTATCTAACAGAAGTAAATGATGGATTACTGCCAGAAGGAAAAGAGAAATGTGGTCATATTTTTAAAAATATTTTCAAAAGTGATACATTTATATGGTTAAAAAAAATTCAGGTTTTCTAAGAGTGTCCAGTGAAGTGAGTGTTCCTCCTACCCCTGGACACCTTCTAGACACTGGGGCAGACAGAGCTCAGCCCAAACCCGAGGGGCACCACGAGTCAGAGAAGCCCCCACAATTCTCTAGTGAGCTCCCCGGGCAGAGCAAGCCTCAGTCCAGACCGGAGTCGGCCCTCCCACCCTCTTCTATTCCCTTTCTTTTTTTCCTTCTCCAGCTCTGCCCATGTAATCCTTTAATCAACTGTTTAAGAGCTGGGGAAATTTCATCCCAACCAAAATGTCTGTGTGGCGCACTCAGTTATTAGTCCTGCCCTCTTCCGGAGCC